AGTAGCGCAATAATAATTATAATAATTTTATATAAATATAAATCAGTAAACAATTACTCGTGACTGGTCTGTATGGCCTCCTTGAAGTTAGAACTCCACTTCCAGCCATACTAAAAAATTAATATCATTTTAACTATCAGTACGGGGGCTGCAATTTTTTGGTTTTGATTTGCTATTTTTTTTTTAATTCAATTTAAAAAAAAAAAAAAAAAAGTAAAAGAAAATTCGTTGTTTTCTTTTAAGTTTCGTTTCTTGAAAAGAATTGTTCTTCTTTTTTTTTTATTCTTTTTTTTTATTACAAACAAATTTGTGTAACCCGCGTCGCTCGCGCGTTTACAATTTTTCTCGCTCGGATTTTGTTTTTTTTTTATTTCTTTTTTAATTCTTATAAACATTCTAATATTGTGTGTTATTTCGTCGTACAGGATGGGTCGTAACTTGTGATATGCAAATGCAAGGATTGAAAAATGTCGATGTATCGATCGAATTTAAAAAAGTAGAAACAAGATTTTGATGTTTAAAATTGAAAAATCCAAAATAAATAGAAATAACTTACCTTTGTGATCTGTATTTAGAAAACTATGCTAATTAGATCTATCTTAAAAAGAAAATATATATATATATAGTGTATATAAAAATGAGCCATACAACATTTTTTTAAATATTAATCGTACGAGTATTCATTTTTCTTTCTCGCGATAATAAACAAATTAAATTATTCGACCCATCTTGTATGATAATAACAATGTTTTTATTATAAATATTTAATAACCGAAATTCATGAATTTCTTGTAATATATAGTCGAAAATAATCGTTGCGACGCAGATTTTCGTCATTTCATTTTTTTATTTTAATAAGATCGAACAACTAACATTGAGAATAAATAAATCTGACGAAACATCGTCATCGTTATCGCCGTTTTATTCATTTTTTTTTCTTCTCGAAGGACCAACAACATTAATAATAATAACAATAAAAATAATAGTATAACAAAAAAATAATTAAAAAAATAGAAGAAAAAAAAGAAGGATTGGCAAATAATAATAATAATAATAATGATAATAATAATAATAATAATAATAGTATAAATAAATAAAATGACCTAGATAGAAGATATTATACTTAACGATAATACCGTTTTGATAAATCTCATTAAATGATACATTAATTACATAACTAATTAAGGAACGATATAATTCATTAACGAGACTAATTATTAAAAACTAATATTCCGACGATGACGTGTCCTGTCTGTTTCGTCAGATAACGCGTCCAATTATTATATATATATTTAATAATAATATATTTATTATATAAAATTAAGAGTATATATCTATATACTATCGGGACACAGCAAACATTGAAAATGTTGGTTTCATGTGGGTAAATGTAAGAAGGGGGTCGGCTTCGGGCTAAGAGGGCTGGTTGGTAATAGTGGTAAAAGAGAAGAGGGGGGCGGGCTCCATGTCACAGAAAGACAAACACAAGTTGCAGGAAACTAAATTTACTTCGACACCGAACTTGTTTATGTGTTATTCATGTAGATATATAAATAAATAATTAATTAATTACTCAATTAATTAATTATGGATTATTTTTTATTCGAAATGGGGTTTCCAAGGTATTTAAGAAGACTAAACAAAAAGAGAAAGATAAAAAAAAAAAGGAGAATAGAATAGAATAGAAAAAAGAGAAAAAAAGGAAAAGAATAAAAGAAAATAATCATCGAAGAACGTTGTCGTCTCGTTCTTACGAAATTTGGAGAACTTATGGGGGTGGGGGGGGGTGGTTTTAGAAAAAACGGGGTTTGGTGGGTGGACACGATCGAAAATTCCAGCAGGAGAAGGGAGCTTTTTACATTATTATTTTTTTATCTATACACGTATGCTGCATATTCATATACAGATTATATATTATTATTATTATTATTATTTTTTATATTAAAAAAAGGTTGCTCCCTATCTCGTACTAGTGATTTAAAACGATCGTTCGATTCGTAGAAGAAGAAAAAGGTTTACATCGGATTTCTTGGTATTATAGTTTTTTTTTTTTCTTTTTAATAATAAGGGGGTTGTGGGTATGAGAATAATTTCTTTTTTTTTGTTCTCGTTTGCCGATACGAACGAAAAGGGCGGCATTTTTTTTCTATTGGCGATCATCGTCGAAATTGTTTAAGAAAAAAAGAAAGAGTACGAGCACGCTTTATTTACATCTCGACTCGCCGTCATCGCGTTTTTTTAATATTAATTATCGTTTGCTATGTTTTTTAATATAAGTGTGTGTTACGTATACGTGTGTGTTAAGTGTGTAGTATGCATGTATATATAATATGTATGTTAACCCTCTTTTTCTCTTTCTCTTTCCCACTCCTCTCTCATTGATTTATTTGAATTAATCAATCAAACGACACACGCCCAATTTCGTCCGACAAACTTTCTCCATTTTTTTTTATTTAATTATTATAATGAATGATTGTTTTAAATATGTAATAGGTAAATGAACGGGTAGAATAAATTGTACGATTTTTTGAATGTCGTCGATTGATCATTTACGTACGTACAGAGGGATGCTTTTTTGTTGATGTATCTTGCCGAGGATTCACGTATTTTATTTATTTTTATATATATATATACGTTTATGTATGTAAAAGGAAAGTAGTCAATATATGTATATATATATAAATATATATAAATATTTAACAAATTTGTTACATATCTTAT